CGTTCGGGAGGCCCGCGTTCGAGTAGACGTGCACGAAGCACTCCGCGCAATCCGACAGGCGCTTCAGGAACGGCGCCATCGCCTTGGCGCCCAGAGCGCAGTTCAGGCCCACGCACATGGGCTTCGCGTGGCGGATCGACACGTAGAACGCCTCGCCCGTCTGGCCCGACAGCGTGCGCCCGCTCTGGTCGACGAGCGTCCCGGAGATGAACAGCGGGATGTCGATGCCCGTGTGCTCGAGGAACTCGTTCACCGCGAAGCACGCCGCCTTGGCGTTCAGGGTGTCGAAGATCGTCTCGATGATGAAGATGTCGCAGCCGCCGTCCGCGAGGCCGACGCACTGCTCGTAGTACGCCTCGACGAGCTCGTCGAAGTCGCAGTTCCGCGTCGTCGGGTCGTTGACGTCCGGCGAGATCGACGCCGTGCGGTTCGTCGGGCCGATGGCGCCGCACACGAACCGCGGCTTCGTCGGGTCCATCGCCGTCACCTCGTCGCACGCCTCGCGCGCGAGGCGCGCGCTGTCGTAGTTGAGCTCGTAGACGAGGTCCTCCATCTTGTAGTCCGCCTGGGCGATCGTCGTCGACGAGAACGTGTTCGTCCCGATGAGCTGCGACCCGCCCTCGACGAGGTACTTCTTGTAGATGTCGCGGATGATGTGCGGCTGCGTGATCGACAGGAGGTCGTTGTTGCCCTTGATGAGCATGTCGTAGTCCTTGAAGCGCTCCGCGCGGAAGTCCGGCTCGTCGAGCTTGTGCTTCTGGATCATCGTGCCCATCGCGCCGTCGTACATCGTGATGCGCGTCTGGAACAGCTCCGTGATGTACGACCGCACGCTGTCGCGGCCGCGCACGAAGTACGGGAAGCCCTCGGGGTGCGTGTCCTTCGGCTGGGCCCAGCTCGCCCGCAGGTCGTCGAACTGCGACACCGCCAGGCTCGGCCGCTTCTCGCGCGCCTTGAGGATCAGCGGGTGATCGAGGCCGTCGTACGAGTACGGGTTCGGCACGTGGTCGCGCGAGACCTTGGTCATCGGCAGCGGCGGCTCCGTCTGGGGCTTCGATTCATAGTTCTTCTCCCAGTCGAAGACGTAGCGGGGCTGCTTCTTCGGGCGGCGGCGCGGCTTGTCCGGCATGGGCTCGCCGTTCTTCTTCGCCGACTTGCAGTCGAAGAACCACTGGGACCACTCCGTGAGGTCCTCCGTGGCCGTCTTCGTGCGGTTGAGCACGGCGTCCTCGCAGATCTCGAGCAAGTCGTCGGACACCTTCTCGTAGGCGAACATCTCGGCCGCGTTGACGATGCCCATGTCCATGCCCGAGAGGCGCGCGGCGTGGTACAAAAACACGGCGTGGATCGACTCGCGGATCTGGTTGACGCCGCGGAAGCCGAAGCTCAGGTTCGACACGCCGCCGGAGATCTTGCACCAGGGGCAGATCTCCTTGATCTGGCGCACCGCGGTGATGAAGTCGATGCCGTAGGCGTTGTGCTCCTCGATGCCCGTGCCGATGGTCAGGATGTTCGGGTCGAAGATGATGTCCTCCGGCGGGAAGCACACGGGCTCGTTCACGAGGATGTCGTAGGACCGCTTGCAGATGCGCACCTTGTCCTCCTTCGTGGCCGCCTGGCCGTACTCGTCGAACGCCATGACGACGACCGCCGCGCCGTGCTTACGCAGCAGCGTCGCGTGCTTGACGAAGAGCTCCTCGCCCACCTTGAGCGAGATCGAGTTCACGATGCACTTGCCCTGGCACCACTTGAGGCCCGCCTCGACGATGTCGAACTTCGACGAGTCAATCATGAAGGGGGC